TCTCAGAAAAAAAAAAGAAAAAAAAAAAAAAACCAAAAGGCAGGTATAGACTGGACAAATAGCAAGATCCAACTATATGCTGTCTATAAAAACTGCACTGTAATGGCCAAAAGGCAGATATAGACTGGACAAATAGCAAGATCCAATTATATGCTGTCTATAAAAACTGCACTATAATGGGCAGATGTGGTGGTTCATGCCTGTAATCTCAGCATTTTGGGAGGCTGAGGCAGGTGGATCACAAGGTCAAGAGATCAAGACCATCCTGGCCAACATGGTGAAACCTTGTCTCTATTAAAAATACAAAAATTAGGGTGTGGTGGCACACACCTGAAGTCCCAGCTACTTGGGAGGCTGAAGCAGGAGAATTGCTTGAACCAGGAGGCAGAGGTTGCAGTGAGCTGAGATTGCACCACTGCACCCCAGCTTGGGCAACAAAAGCGAGACTCCATCTCAAAAGAAAACGAAAACAAAAACATAAAACCTGTATTGTAAATATAATGACAGAGTAAAAATTAAAGATAAACAGCAGACATATCATAACAACAGTAGCAAAAGAAAGATGGTAAGGCTAAATTAATAGCAGTCAAAGCAGTATTTCCAGAGAGGAGTGTCAGGGTGTATTCTGGGAGATAAAGAGAGGCATTTCATAATGGTAAGAGGACCATGAACATATAACAATGATAATTTATTTAGCTAACAACATAACATCAAAATACATGAAGCAAAACATAAAGCAGAAACTGAAAGAATTAAAGGGAGAAATGAACAAGTTCCCAGTCATAGTTGAAGATTTCCATAAGCCATTCTTAGTAACTGATAGAAAAACTAGACTAAAAAATCAGCAAGGATCTTAATTTTTGAGTAACACTATCACACCAAATTGATCTAGCTGACATTTATAGAATATTATAACAAGCTCAGAATAAACATTCTATTCAATTGCATCTGGAGCTTCACCAAGATAGACTACATTCTGAATCACAAATTTCAAGAAGTTCAAAAACTGACATCTTACAGAGTATGTTCCTGACTGCAATGGGATTAAATTAAAAATCAGCCATAAGATACCTAGAAGGCCGGGCATGGTGGCTCATGCCTGTAATCCAAGCACTTTGGAGGCCAAGGCAGGCAGATCACCCGAGGTCGGGAGTTCAAGATATCTAGAAAATATCTCAATTATTTGGCTCCCAAACCAATTTGAGTGCTAAATAACTCAAGGGCCAAAGAAAGGGGGGAAAAAAGGAAAACTAGAAAATAGTTCTAACTTAATAGTAGAAAATATATTATGGTCATATTATGGTCATTGGTATTTTTGTGTAGTGTCATTTCAAGTCTTTTGCCCAGTTTTTAATTGGATTATTAGTTGCTTTATTAATGCTTTTTATGTTATATCAGATCTGTGCATTGTGAATATTTTCTTCCAGTTTGTAGTTTGCCTTTTGATTTTCTTTATGGCATATAGGAAAATTTGTGAGATAAAAGCAAAGCAGAACTTACAAGAAATTTATAGTTTTATATTGTGCACATTTAAAAAAGGAAAAAAAAAAGGCCAGGCACAGTGGCTCACATCTGTAATCCCAGTGCTACTAGGAGGATTGCTTGAGGCCAGGAATTCGAGTCCAGCCTGGGAAACATAGCAAGACTCTGTCTCTCCAAAAAATAAAAATAACAAAAATTAACCAAACGCAGTGGCATGTGTTTGTACTTCCTGCTCAGGGGCTGAGGTGGAAGGATCTGTTAATCCCAAAAGTTTGAGGCTGCAGTTAGCTACAATCATGCCACTGCACTCCAACCTGGGTAACAGAGCAAGACTCTGTCTCTTAACAAAAGGGTGGGTGAGGGTGGTTCCTAAAATCAATAATCTTAGTTTCTAACTTCAGAAAGAATAAATTGTACTCAAAGTACAAAACAAAACAAAAATTTTTTTAAAGAGAGAAGAAATCATTGAAAAAGAAAATTAACAAAGCAAAAATTTGGTTCTCTGAAAAGATTAACGATATTGATCAATCTCAACCAAAAATGATGAAGAACAATAGAGATAAAATAAATTAGTAATATTAGGAGTGAAAAGTGAGCCATCACTACAGATCCTATGGCCAATTAAAGGAAAATAAGGTGTATAGATTTGTACTATGCTAACTTAAGTGAAGCTGGAATTTCATTTCCCAGAATTCTCTTCATTGCATAGCTCTGGGTTAGTGTGGACCACATGAGTCATTATGTCTGAGCTGTGAAAGGCAAAAATTAATCATCTCAGAAAGTTGGCGCATACTGTCACTTATTTCTTGGTTCTCCTTGTTAGTGTGAGGCAGCACGTGTGCTTTCAGCTCTTTGTAGTTTCTGCCAAATTTCTTCCTTCTGCTTTTTTGAATCTTGAGCCAGGTATACATTTAGCTAGCTGCTTCTGTAGGAAAGCCATTCATCTAGATTAGGAGTCTCAGTGGAATAAAAGAGCTCAACATAGATTCCAATGTATTCTCATGGAGTGAGCTCATCGCCACAGGTAGAGTTTGTCCTTACTTCTACCATGGCACATTATCATCTCTTCCTAAGTGTTCTCCCTACTGATTTCAAATTCCAGAATCAGACGTGAAATCTACAATCACCCATAAACTATTTAATCAGCTTCCACATTCACATTAGGTCAAATCCAAATAAATTTGACAACTTATGAAAAATAGACAAATTCTTTGAAAGACACAAGTTACCAAAGCTTGCTCAAGAAAAAAACAAGTAACTTAGATAACCATATGTGTGTATGTAAAAAACAATGGAAAAGAGCAGTATTCAGAAATAAACTCACACATATACACAACAAAATAATTTTCTGTGAAGGTGCCAAAGGAATTCAATGAAAAAAGCAAAGTCCTTTCAGAAAGTGATACTACAACTGCATATGCATACGAAAAAAATGAAACTCAACTTCTACCTGACACACACACACACACACACACACACACACACACACACACACACACTCTTCATTCAAGAGGAATCACAGATATAAATACAGTTTCTAAAAGAAAACAGAAGAAAAGCTTTGCAGCCTTGGGATAGACAAGGTTTCTTAAGACACAAAAAGTACTATTCATTTAAAAAAATTGTCAGCAGGACTTCTGCTTATTAAGAAATACGATAAAGAAAATCAAAAGGCAAACTACAAACTGGAAGAAAATATTGACTATGCACAGATCTGGTAAATAACATAAAAAGCATTAATAAAGCAACTAATAATCCAATTAAAAACTGAGTAAAAGACTTGAAATGACACTACACGAAAAGTATACCAACGACCATAAAAAGCACATAAAAAGGTACTTAACATAAATAATCGGAGAAATACCAATTAAAAATGAGACAGTATTTCATACTTAATAGATTGACTTAAAATACTGACAACACCATGTGTTGGCAAGGATATGGAAGTATTTGAATTCTCATTTATTGATGATGGAATATAAAACGGTACAACCATTCTGAAAAACAGTTTGGGTATTTCCTATAAAGCTAAACATATGCCTGCCCTATGACCCATCTTTTCTATTCTTATATAAAAGAACTGAAAACATTCATCCATGAAAAAGATATACACAAGAAAGTGTGCAGCTTTATTCATAATGCCCCAAACCTAGAAATAACTTAAATACCAATCAAAAGAAGAATAAACAAATTGTGGCATAATCCTACCAGGAATAAGCTGCTGATACATGTGATCCCATGGATGAACTTCAAGTGAAAGTAGCCAGATACAGTGAGTACACACTGTCATGATTCCATTTATATGAAATCTAACAAGAGGCAGAACTAATCTATGGTGATAAAAATCAGGTGCACTGAACTCCTATTGGAGGATTAGCTGGTAGGGGCATACAGAAATATTATAGGATGATAGAAATGCCCGGCCGGGCGCGGTGGCTCAAGCCTGTAATCCCAGCACTTTGGGAGGCCGAGGCGGGTGGATCACGAGGTCGAGAGATCGAGACCATCCTGGTCAACATGGTGAAACCCTGTCTCTACTAAAAATACAAAAAACTAGCTGGGCGTGGTGGCACGTGCCTGTAATCCCAGCTACTCAGGATGCTGAGGCAGGAGAATTGCCTGAGCCCAGTAGGCGGAGGTTGCAGTGAGCCGAGATCGCGCCATTGCACTCCAGCCTGGGTAACAAGAGCGAAACTCCATCTCAAAAAAAAAAAAAAAGAAATGCCCTACATCTTGATTAGGGTATTGATTAAACAGGAGTACAGATTTGTACTCATCAAATTATGTACTTAGGCACATTTCATTTTATGCAAACTTTATCTCAAGATAAAAAGAAAAAATTCACTCATGGAAATTTCATTACAGGATGAAATTATATTTTCCAGGCTGAGCATGGTGGTTCACACCTGTAATTCCAGCACTTGGTGAGGCCGAGAAGAGAAATCACTTGAGGTCAGGAGCTCAAGACCAGCCTGGACAACAGGAAAAAAACCCATCTCTACAAAAAGTACAAAAATAGCTGGGTGTGGTGGTGCACATCTGCAATTCCAGTTCAGAAGGCTGAGGAACCAGGAATCACCTGAACTTAGTAGGTGGAGGCCTCAGTGACCCGAGATCATGCCACTACTGCACTTCAGCCTGGGCAACAGAGTGCAACTCTGCCTCAAAAAAAAAAAAAAAAAAAGGAATATATACACGTGTGTGTGTGTGTGTGTGTGTGTGTGTGTGTGTGTGTGTGTGTTCCAAAACAGCATATTTTGAAAAAGATCCAAAGAAACTTCAAGTTTAAAAATGAAAACTTAAAAGTGTTACCAAATTTATTAACATAAATATTGTTCTAAATTCAAGAATTTCTCTGCAATGTAAGAAATTTCAGTAGAGGACTGTGGCCTGTGTTTATATCTACTACAAATTAGTTTTGTGATGCTATAAACTTCTTTAAGCAGAATGGCAATGAAATAAAGATTTAGATACATGGGAAACATAACAGAAAGCTCAAAATAAAGAAGTCATCATACCTGTTGGGAGAGGTATATATATCCTTTTTTCTAACCTTCTTCGCAAAGCTTCATCAATGTCCCAAGGGAAGTTAGTAGCGGCCAATACCATAACCATTTTGGAAGGATCGTCATTTTCTAAAGCTCCTCCAACTCCTATACACAGTAAGGGAGGAAAAGATAGTGTTTTTCTTACAACCCTTTATTCTTTCATTCAATTAACATTTCTAACCATTAGCCATAGTGACAGAAGCAATGATGAACACAGTGCAGCCTGATCTCTGTGTGATGGCAAAACCAGACTCATCAACAGATAACTACAAAAAAAAAAAAGTAGACGAATTCACATAACCTAGTGCAGGATTTTTCTTTTCTTTTCTTTTTCAGTTGTGCAACCTAGTGCAGCATTTTAATCCAGTTAAAAAATCCATTTTTCTCTAAGAAAATGAACATATATTTCCTCTGAAAAGAAAAGGCATGGGACAATAGGTTCTGTTGTATTCCTCTTATTTCTTTTAAATCATAAAGTTCCTTAAAATTTTTAGTTTTTAGTCTATTTTCTCAAGTATACAATTATAATTCTGAAAGACAGATTGTGTTGCAATGATGTTGTCCTTTAAACTTTTAAGTGACTTGTGAAAATAAACAACACATTTGAGGATGACCCTACTAATCACAGGTAAAAATAACCAAACCAACTACATGCATATACACGGTGTCTCCTTTTCAGAATTAAAATTTTAGAATAAAAAATTTCAGGTCACACAACAGAAACTCTAGAAAATACCTAGTGAAAACTAAAAGATAAAAAACCCATAAACTTCATTTATTGATAAGACTTTCTAGTCTGGCATAATAAAGTACTCGTGGATTTAAAGCAACTTAGTTCATTACAGTATTATTATCATTTTTTTTTTTAACAATGTCTGGTTCTGTCATTCAGGCTGAAGTGTTCTGGCATGATCTTGGCTCACTGAAACTTACAATATTTTCTTATTACTAAACTACTTCAACTATTATGACAAAGAATCAAGCTGTCCAACTAATAATCAACAAGTCACAAGTATCCCTCAGTGAAATTCAGCTGACTAAATATTCAGTGATTTCCTTTTCCAATTTTAAACCCCTAATGTTTTCTCCTATATCCCACCTCAAAAATCAAACATACTCATTCCTTCTCTCATACTTTAGCAAAAGTTAAAACAGTACACTCACTGAGGCAAGGATCTCATACTACATTATAAGTATTCAGTAAGTATCCACAGTTGATGAATAACCATGACTGTTTTTAAACAATACAACTTGGATATTGATGGCATTTTGTTGTTGTTATGGGACAGGTTCTTGCTCTGTCACCCAGGCTGGAGAGCCATAATCACAGCTTACTGTGGCCTCAAACTCCTGGGCTCAAGCTTTCTTCCCATCTCAGCCTCCTGAGTAGGTAGGACTACAGGCAGGCGCCACCACACCCAGCTACTTTCTAAAGTTTTTGCTATATTAAAGTCTTGTTGGTTTTGAACTTCTGGCCTCAAGTGACCCTCCCACCTTCGCCTCCCAAACTGCTGAGATTACAGGCATGAGCCACTGTACTCACTCCCTCAGCCTGGATATTTTTAAACAATTTTATTGGTTCTCATGTTTTGCTTAAATGGCCTCTTGTCTACCACACAACTAACTACCAGAGTAACTCATCTCTAAATAGCAATTCGGAGCCCATAACCCTCTTCCTTCCATGGCTCCCCAGGGCCCTTTTTCTCTGTCTGGATAACTCCTACCAATGCTTCAAAGTTCAACTAGTCTATCTCTTTCCATGACTCCCCTAACCTTGGTGGTACCTCTCTTACTGTTTCCACTGCACCCAGACTTTACTTCTACCCTAGAACTTACCATAATGTATTATACTCATCTGATCAGCTGCCTGCTTCCCATCTAGATCAGTGGTTCTCAAACTTTCTGATCTCAGGCCCTTTTATCCAAAATAATTGAAAACATTCATTCATAAAAATTACTGAGTCTTAAAAATTACTGAAGCTGGGTGCAGTGGCTCATGCCTATGATCCTAGCACTTTGAGAGGCTGAGTCCAGAGGATCACCTGAGCTCAAGAGTTCAACTACAGTCGGGTAAACATGGTGAGACCCTGTCTTTACAAAAAATAAAACTTGGCCAGATGTGGTGGCATGTGACTGTGGTCCCAGCTACTTAGGAGGCTGAGGCAGGAGAATCGCTTGAGCCCAGGAGGTAGAGGCTGCCGTGAGCTGTGTTCACACCACTGTATTCCAGCCTCAGCAACAGAGCAAGACTCTGAACCTAAATATATATATACAAAATTGAGAACTTCAAAGAGCTTTTTTGTGTGTGGAATGCATCTATCAATACCTTTAAAACTTAAAATAGATGGTACATGCGTAAATTGTATGAAAAAAAGAAAAATACTAAAATAGAAATTTAAAAACATTAATTCACTTAAAAATAATAAATCCATTAATCCATTACTTGGTTCATGTATTTCTATGAAAAGCATGTTTTCCAAAATATTAAAAAAACAGAAGAGGGCCTTTTTTTTTCTTCACATTTTTGCAAATCTCTTTAACGTCTAACTAGAGAACAGCTGGATTCGCATATCTGCTTTTGCATTATACCCTTTATGATATCCTGTCTTACAGCCCCTAGAAAACTCTACTGTATACTTGTGAGAGAATGAGAGTGAAAAAGGAAAGGCAAATAATGACTTGATATTCCTATGAAAATAGTTTTGACCTTGCAGATTCTTTAAAGGGTCTCAAGGAACCCTAGGACTCTAGATCATACCTCTAGAACCCTTGCTCCAAATAGTAAGCTCACTGAAGGCCATTTTAGCTTTTTTCTTTGTAACCTCAGAATCTGAAATGGTGCATGATCTCTAACAAGTATGCAATAAATGCTCTCTGAGCAGATGAACAAATGGGTGAATTAACGAATAATTAAACTCAGGCTGCCTTCTAATCCATCCACTGATTATAAGTTTACACAAAATATTTTTTAAAAAATAAGAATTTTGAAACAATAATTAAGTATCAATTACCATCCATTTGAATGAGTAGTTCAGACTTGACCCTGCGACTTGCCTCATGTTCATCAGAGGTTCCTCTTCGACTACAGATAGAATCTATCTCATCAATGAAGATTGTGGTAGGCGCATAAAATCTAGCCTTTAAGAAAATATTTTAAAGAAATCATTCAATGATCTCATAAAACAATCTGCGTATTTAAAAAACAATCTTTTAAAACAATGGCAAAAAAGAGCAGAAACTTCTCATGTTTAATGCCATCATTTGGTTATGGTCATTCCCATGAGAAAAAAGAAATATCTAAAAATAAAGGTTATGGGTGAAGTTGGGTGACAGATACATGAGGGGTCATTGCACTATGCTTACTTTCAGGTCTGGAAATTTCCATAATAAAAAAACTTTCAAAAATAAATCAACCTCAATCCTCAAGTAGGCATTCTTAAGGTAATGCAAATCCCATACAAAAAAGGAATAAACTTTAACGACAGATCAGGCTCTGATTTTTAAAATAAATATTAAAATATTATTCTGCTCCATCAGCTTCCGAGAGATCCAGAAATACCAGTCAAACCACACACATGGCCAAAGTCTCTTCTTCCACCCTCAACGGGTAAGATGCGAAAAGGCGTTCTTTTACCTTAAAGAAAAGATACACTGAAGATACACCAACTACCCCACAAAATCCACCATCCCATTTCTCAACAGTGTGTCAAGAACTATTAAAATATAACTATACTGTCCTTTTCAAAAAGATTCCAGGTGGACAGACCTCATTGATGGGGGCATCATAGGCCTACACACACTACTTTGAAATCTGAATATATCATCACTTACCATCTCAAACAACAGACGAACTAACTTCTCAGATTCACCTCTATATTTAGATGTCAGTGTAGAAGAGGAAACGTTGAAGAATGTTGTACCACATTCAGTGGCAACAGCTTTAGCTAGCATAGTTTTACCAGTGCCTGGGGGTCCAACCATTAGTACACCCTGAAATTTCAACAGATGAATTAAATGATTTATCAGATTAAAAGTTTAATAAATTATCAGCTATTAATGTACATTAGGATTTTTCCATCAAAAGATAAACTCAAAATTGTCACAGTAAAATCATGATGCATTTAGCAAGAATATCATTTTATAGCTAGAAAAAATGACGCAATCTCATAAAATGTCTCAAGTCAGAGGTAGTCAGAGATAACCTAATAAAAAGCCTAGACAACCAACAATTTTTTCATATATTTAGAAATAATCTACTGTTTCCTGAACCTGACATACGATATATACATATAATATGGAGCATTGCTTAAAAGCAACCATTCTGTTTACACATAATAAAAACATTCCTTACCCTCTATAAGGGACAAAACCTATCTTCCACAGTGCATTTATAATATACAACTTTCAGTAAAAAATAAAGACCCATTTATGAGTTAATAAGGTAACAGTAAAAATTCCAGTGGTGATTCAAACATAATCAAATTAGCAACATTTTTATCATTTTAGACAGTTTACATAAAACAGTGATTGTGATAAAGGAGCCAATAAATACAGAATAAAAACTTTAGTTACTTCTTAGTTTTGAAAACAAACATGAAAGTATTCTATAAAAACAAATCAGAGAGGAATAAAAATTATTCAAGGAAACCAATCTTCTAGTCTTAAAAACTAATGGATATTTAAATAATTATTTTTTTCTAGCAGTTTTAATGGAGTTTAAACACATGACTCACACTAAATTTTTTTTGCATAATATTCGGTCATTCCTTAAGAGGAAATTCTGATCCAATTGCTACTTTGGCTCGACAAACTTTTGGGGATTTAAGCTTTGAAAACTGCATATGTCAAAGTTTCACAAACTCCAAATTCAGAAACTGTCCAAATGATGGCTAAAGAATTTTGTTACAGAGATCAACAAGGAATCACTAAGAATTGAAACATTAGTTCTACAAAAATATTTTTTTGCTTTGTTACGGAGTCTTCAACTTTGCATAAGATTGAAATTTTAAAAACCATGAAAACGACCAACTGATGCTACAGGCATAGCCACAGCAAAGTTCTTATTTCTTCCATAACTTTTTTCATGCTCACTGAGAGGGGCATCTTGTAATGTCATTCATGTGGCCACCTCCTATAGGAGTTAATTTCTAACATTAGCATCTGTTCACAGCTACTGTACATTTATAAACTTCACCTCCTCATGACATTACTCCTTTAATTAAGTTCTCTCTTTTCTGTATCTCCTAGTCCACTGGCCCTTTCCCCTCGGTATATACATATACTTTAATCTGCCACATTACAAAATCTCTTAAGGAAAGAACAGTCTCTTCAATAAATGGTGCTAGAAAAACTGGATGACCATATGCAGAAGAATGAAACTAGATGCTGATCTCTCACCATATACAAAAATCAAATCAAAATGGACCAAAGAACATATATAGAAATCAAGTCAAAATAGATTAAAGACCTGAAACTATGAAACTACTAGAAGAAAAAACCAGGAAAATGATACAGGACATCAGTCCAGGCAGATTTTTTGTGTGTGTGTAAGACCTTAATGGCACAGACAAACAAAGCAAAAACAGATAGATTATATTAAAAAAAAAAAATCAACAAAAAGACACCCCTGCAATGGGAGAAAATATTTGCAAAATATTCATCTGACAAGGGATTAGTAACCGGAACACACAAGCAGCTCAAACAACTCAACAGCAAAAAGACAAATAATCCAATTATAAAACGGGCAAAAGGTCTGAATAGACATTTGTCAAAAGAAGACATACAAATGTCCAACAGATAATGAAAAAATGCTCAACATCACTAATCATTAGAGAAATTCAAGTCAAAATCAAAATGAGATATCATCTCACTCCAATTAAAATGGCTTTCATCAAAAACATAGGCAATCACGGATGATGGTGAGGATATGGAGAAAGGGGAATGCTCCTATACTGTTGGTGGCAGCCACTGTGGAAAACTGTAAAGAAGTTCTTCAAAAAATGAAAACCAGGTCTATCATATGATCCAGTGATTCTACTACTGGGTATATATCAAAAAAAAAGGAAATCAATATATTGAAGAGGTATCTGCACTCCTGTGTTTATTACAACACTAGTCACAATAGCCAAAATATGAAATCAACCTAAGTGACCAACAATGGATGAATGGAAAAAGAAAATGTGGTATATACACAAAATGGAGAGATTAAGAACCATGGGCAATGATTCAATTGATCATGTGAGCTTCCCTAATTGGCAATACTCTGTGTATTTCTCTTAGTCCATTTGTGTTGCTGTAAAGAAATACCTGAGGCCGGGTAATTTTAAAGAAAAAAAGTTTATTTGGCTCACAGTTCTGCAGGCTGTACAGGAAGCATGATGCCTGCACCCGTTCAGCTTCTAGTGATGGCCTCACGCTTCTTCCACTTACGGAGAAAGGTGAAAGGGAGCCAGCATGCAGAACTCATATGGCAAGAGCAAAAGCAAGAGAGAGGGGAAACAGCCAGTTCTCATGAGAACTAACAGAGTGAGAACTTGCTCAGTATCATGGGGTCAGCACCAAGTCATTCATGAGAGATCTGCCCCATGCACAAACTCCTCCCATTAGGCACCACTTCCCAACACCACACACCAAGAATCAAATTTCAACATAAGATTTTGTGGAACAAATATCCAAACCATATCCGAACTACAGCAGCACTGTCACATGCCCATGTACTGCAATAATCTGCATATTGTCACACATCCAGGAGAGTAAAGCATCCTGACTCCAGGAAGAGAGGACAAAAGCATCACCTTCAGCATCCTTCCAGACCTCGCCCTGTAAGTTTCTCCTCTTGGCTGGTTCCGATTTATATACTTTGGCTATAGTAACACTGTTACCATAAGTATGGCTGCTCCCTGCACAGCTCAGGGGTTGGGGCACCAATCCCCCACAAGGTCAAAAATCTGCATATAATTTTTGATTCCCCAAAAACATAATAATGAATATCCGATTGTTGATTTGAAGACTTATTGGTAATAAAAACTGTAAACACATATTTTGTATATGTATTGTATATTGTATTCTTACTATAAAGTAAGCTAGAGAAAAGAAAACGTTATTAAGAAAATTATGAGAAAATATATTTATTATTCATTAAGTGGAAGTGTATCACCTTTTCACCTTGGATAGGCTAAGGAAGAGGAGGAAAAGGAGGGGTTGTCTTGTCTCCGGGGCAGCAGAAGCAGAAGAAAAGCCATGTGTAAGGGGACCCACAATGTTCATGCCTACGTTGTCCTGGGCTCAATTGTAAAACTTCCTTTCCTTCTGTAAGGACTCACGGTTCTGTGAGTCATTCTAGAGAATAATCAAACCTGAGAGGGTAGTGGGAACCCCTGAATTTGTAGCCAGTTGGTCATAAGAGTGACCTGGGGACCCCCAAGTTTGCAGCTAGTGTCTGAAGTGAGGGCAGTCTTGCAGAAAACTGAGCTCTCAACCTTGTGAAGTTTGGCCCAACTCTGGGTAGGTGATGTCAGAAGTCATTGCATATGCCTTCCATTCAAGCCTGGAATCTGGGAGTCATACAACTTGTCTCTCTCCCACATCCCTGTAAACAATCAGTCACTTATACCTTCTAAACAACCCTCACAAATTCATTCATTTTTCACTAGCCAAAAAGCCAAAGCCTTTGTGCAGGCGTTTGTCCTCACTGTTTGGCTAGATTATTTCAACTGCCTCCTAATCAGATTTCTTTTCCATTTCCATCTAAGCCCATCCCCAACCTATCCTCCATACTGCTACAGGAAAGAGATCTTCCTACACTTGCAAATCACCCTCCTACTAAAAACTCTTCAATGGCTCACTGACATCTTTAGCATGGCATGCAGGGCTCTTTGTGAGAAGTAGGTCACATCGACCAGTCTAGCAGTGCCTTTTGTTACTATGTCCCATAAAACACTCTATACTTCCAGCCACACTGAACCACAGAAGATTCTTCACATATACTATGTTCTCTTACACTTTTCATGTGTTTGTACATGACATCCATTCTGCCTTAGAGCCTTTCTTCATCACATCTGCCTGCTGAACTTCTATTCATCTTTCAAGTCTCAGCTCAGAATCACCTGCTCTGGGAGGTTATCCCTGTTATTATGCTCCATAGCAGACTAAGTCCCTCTTCCTCTCTCCTGCCATAGCAACGTGTTCATTACTCTATCAGACACTAGTCACACTGTCCTCAACAAATACTGCACTTAACACATGGTGTCCATTAAATATATGCTATTCACCCAAAGACCATGAGCTTCTTGGGGGCTGTTATTCATTCATTTTGGTATCCTCTGCACTTAGCCTATCACTTAACACAAGGTAAATACTCAATAAATATGTATTTACCCAGTGCAAACTTATCCAATGCTTACTAAGTACTAGGCCCTGAGGGAAAAAAGTTGAATCTGTCAGGAATCACACATAAATCCTCAAGAGACTTTTAATCTATTAGAAAATATAGATAAATTATGGTGCAGTCTGAGAAGTGCTAAGATAGCCTGGATGATAAAAGGATAGATGAATACAGTCTCAATGTAAGACTGATTCAAGGATATGTTTACATACTTCAGCCACTGAAAATACAGTAGTCTATTCCTTGGGCATCTCCTTATTTTCTGAGTATAATTTTCTGATCTTAAAACTTATAAAGAAGAACCTCACTATTATTCTGTTAGAGAAATATTTGTCCCAGAGATGTATTTTTGAAAAAGCATTTAGTATCTCCACCTTTTACTGCTCTCATAAGCTTCATCCCTGTATTTCTAACTTGGTGCATTTCTGCATGAATACTGTACCAAAATTTCACACTAATTCCTCCTCTCTTTTCCCAGAAGCACCCCTTGCTCCTGCTGAACTTTCATCCAGAAGAATAAACCAGTATCTTTCACCTTCCTGAGCTCCACATTTATGTTATCGTCACTATTTATTTTGCTATAGGCAAAAACCAATTTTCTTTGCCCCACCTTCATCTTGACATACATATTACATTCAAAAGGTTACCAACTTCCTTCATTAAATATCACTAGCATCTGTCCTTCCATTCCTAATCACCATCCCAATTCAAGTTCTTTGAATTTTAAGCCTTAACTACTGCCAATCACTTCTGAACATGCTCTCTGCCTTCCATCTTACTGTGCTCATTGCAACCAGACTGTTTTCCCCAACTCACTAGTTTAACTATGCTACCTACATGCTCAAAGAGGTCTCCCAAACGCCCATAGAAAAAGGACCAAATTCCTGGGAAATACAATCTGGCCTCAACCTTCCTTCCCATTTGAATCTCCCACTAAGTTATTTTTTCAACAGTTATAAGTGCTAACTATTGTCAGATACTGTCTTATTAACTCATTTTAACCTCACTATATCCTATGAGATAACATGATTCCCATTTTATAGATAAGAAAACTGAGGAATGGAGAACTCTCATAACTTGCTCAAGATCACAGATCCAGTAAGTGGAAAGGGCTAGAATTCGTATGCACCCAGTCTGGATCCAGGATCTGTGCCCCTTACCAATATGCTATGCTGCTTTCCTTACAAAACTTCAATGCATCTATTTCCCAAATACACTTACACTTTCTCACTATATTCTACTGCTCACGTCATTCACCCCCCACTCAAGTTCCTAAAACTCCAAAATGTAGCTCCTCCAACACAGTGAAATCCTCACAACCCTACAAATTGCCACTTGAATCCCACATCCTCAAGCACAAAACCCTCTCTAATCATGTCATGTTTGCTCTCCAAGCACATGTGGACTGTACCACCCATTAGGCTCTGCTACTGACTAACACTGAAAGCTACCTGTAAGTGCCCAACTCTCTATTTCGGATGTCTCACAGTTCAGGACTATGTCTTGAAAAACAAAATAAAACGGCTAAACAAGTGCCTGATGGATACAGGAGTAGTATCACACCATGCAGGAGAAAGTGTGCTGTTGAGGGAAGGTACATATTAACATAAGAAGATGAGACACATTGAATTTTAAATTTTCTAAAGGTCTATTATGGTTGTCACAACCTATTTGGACTTCAATTTTCTAGTCTGTGACATAGTGGGGATTTAAGATGATCTCAAAGACTCATTCCAATTCTGAAATTCTGGAATTTATGTTTTGAGACAAATTTTGTAAATGTGAAAAATCTCTGAGGCCTCCTTATTTTCAAGTATTCTTTAAAACATATTTATCAGGCTCACACCTGTAATCCCAGCACTTGGGGAAGCCGAGACAAGTGGATCACTTGAAGCCAGGAGTTCAAGATCAGCCTGGCTAACATGACAAAATGCAGCCTCTACCAAAAATACAAAATTTAGCTGGTGTGGTGGCACACACCTGTAATTCCAGCTACTCAGGAGGTTGAGGCATGAGAATCACTTGAACCCAGGAGGCGGAGGCTGCAGTGAGCTGAGATCGTGCCACTGTCTACCAGCCTAGGCAACAGAGTGAGACTCAATCTCAAAAAATAAATAAAATACATTTATTGTCCCATTTTAGTAAATATTCTCACAAATCCCTATAAAATTCAAACATAAGCTTTTAAAAAAACATAAAAGTTCTATTCAAGAATTTTATTCTACTGTTACAGAAAAAAATGTATTAGGTCAGGAATAAGATTCTTTGGAAATATATCTTTACATTTATTTTCTTAATCCAGTTTGCCAATAAATACTACAAAAGCACAGCAAGGACTAAATAAATTGATACAGTCAGATCATATTTTGTGATGACATAAGAAATTGTTTTTTAAACCACAGCTAAATACCTCTTTTTAGAAAAAAAATTTGTGAAAACTCAAAAGTATAAAAAATGTAGTCTATAAAATAGTTAACAATGAGCTTCAAGTCAGTGACAAGTGAAACAAATTAAAATAATTAACCATCAGTGAGAAATATTCCAACTTCTGAAAAATAACTGTTTGACCAAACCTTTCTTCTATAAGACTATGTACTATTTCTGCTTAATCTGCTTAACTTTTTATCTACAAAAACATACATCTAGAAAATTCTTAAAACTAATCTCTAGCTCAGCACCCCTGAGGAAAGTGACTTTACCTAAAGGCTATATAGTTTCAACACTGCAAGCCCATCTCTCCTGCCATGCAGATGCAGTACATCACACTACAAATTCAAATCCAGGTGTTTTGGGTGTATATAAACTTCTCCCAACCTTTTCAAAATGTGTTAAATACATTAAAAACTACAGCAATGCTGCCTTTCATTCTGATACAAGCAGCATTCTTACACCAAAACCAATTTCATAAATTCTCACCTTCCATGGCCTTCTAATCCCTTTGAAGAAGTCAGGCATCCACATTGGAAGAACGACAGCTTCCCTTAGCAGCTTCTTAGCTTCTTCCAGATCTGCTATGTCATCCCTTTGAAAGATCAGCAAAGTTTCATAAGGTTTATTCAGGGACCTTTGATTTATGGTCAAAACTAATTCTTTAAATTTTTTTTTAATTTATGAAATTATTCATATATTAAGAACATTATTCTAATTCTTACTGCATAAAAAGATCAGTGAAAACATTAGTTATTAATAAGGACATGTCATTCAATTAACAACTTTCATCGGTTACATCAACTTCAAATTAATGTGTAAAATGCCCTTGGTTATGTTCGACAGAAACTGTCTCGCCAATCTATACTCTCATATTATAGATGTGGTCATAATGAGATTAATGAATAACAAGAGAAAACTCACACCAAGCCAACCTATAACTTGTTTTCTCCTCTACTTTAGTTAAACAATTTGAAAGACTCTAACCAATGAATGCTAGGATTCCTGGATACAATGTCTCTCTCAAGGGCTTCCACCAGATCCTTATCATAACCAGCACCATCAAATTTTGGAATTTCACCATCACTTGCACCATCTTGCATATTCTTCCTTCCCTGGGGATAGGTATAAAAAAAGTACTAGTCAATAACTGTGTAATTTTAATCAACATCATTAAGCTTTGAAAGCATTATAATGCCATCATTTTCTAAATAATTTTTATTATTTTAAGGTAGTATTTTCTGATTACTCAAATGCCATTCTCCTCTATTTATCAGAAATACATGAACTGGTTAACTTTATTAAAAACTTCAAATCTACATTCTTGCAGGGACAGTTGCAGGTAAGACTAAAATGAACCTTGCTAGATCCCAAAAGATTGGGAAATACTATCTTTGAACTGGTAGATGCAGAGGATTTCCATCACTACAGAAAATATGTTGAATATTAATATAGAAGGATCTTTTAAATAGTATTAAGACCATTAAAGCAATATGTTTTACCCCAAATTCTTCATTTAATAATATAGTTGTTGTAAAAGGAATTATATGCTATGGTTTCTATGGGGTTCTGCCAAGATTTACACAGCTTTGAAGAGCTTTAAACGAAATGCACTTATTTGCCAGAGGCAGTGCAACTACAGAAAATACTTCAGCAAGCACAGCCAAGGGCCTCCCCAGAGCTTTAGCCCCAGTTACCGCCTAGAGTAAAAATGAAATGGGAAAATGGTCAAAATGAGTTAATCTCCTAAACATCAACCTGAAAAGAGACAAGAGAACAAGACAAACTTCTCCAATCCCACTTCTTATATAGTCAAAAGGCTCAATCGTAAGTGCTGGGAGGAAACTAAACAGCTCCCTTGGACAGATACTCTAGTTCCTTTAAGCTACTAGGTAAGTGACCAAACAGTATTCTGGTACTTCACCTCCCAAAAATGAACAATTTATTATTTCTGGGCAGTATGGCAGTAGTATTAAATTTATTAGTAAATTTCAGGAAGATTCTTGCTTTCCAGATGACAGATATCAATACTGACACTACTAAAGGAGTAAATTTCTGGCACCTACACAACAAACATTACATCGACAAACTTAAGCTTAGGCTAGAGTCACATTTTATAGCACAGATAGGCCAAGTCTACCAAGTCATATTCAAACCAATCACTAGAAACATTTTGTAATCACTTAAAAACTATCCTAGAAATACATCAACTAAAGAATATACAAGAAACTGACATATCTGGGGCTAGAGCCTTCATATGGCATTGTAATTCATACTTACCAAGTTAAAATTAAAATATCATTTTAATATGAATGTCCAAGTAGCTGGAAAGAATTTAGTAAACACTACACCAGCAGAAAGAAAAAGCTGCATGCCTATCTGAAAGTAACAGGAGTACCATAGGATTTTAAGAACAGTAAGTATTTGTGCGTCTTCTATGTGCAACACATGCTATTCTGCATTAGGTTTTACAGCAGTGAATGAAAATACATTATCTGCCTTCATCAAGCATCTAGTCTAGTGGGGGAAAGAAGCAAATAAAGCAAAAACACACATAAACTGTGAAATGCTGTGAAAAAACCTGAGTAGCCAGCATAGATAAAAAGTATAGCACGGAAGGCAGAGGTTGAAGATATGGGCAGAGGTGAGTTTGGATTTCTTCTGGTTGCTACAGAGTATAGGTAGAGGAGGAGAATTAAAGAAGTAAAAGCCTCTCACTATGCAGAAGAATAAATGTGTGTAGAGGCCAGTTAAATGATGTGCCCAAGAATCCAGAGTTTCTCAGTGGTACACATGAGACTTGGAATACAGATCAAGGACTACAAAAAAGATTCTGGGAACATTTTCAAATCAAAATGGTGAGGTTATATAAAACAGACTTAGGGCCAGGTGCAGTGGCTCACACCTGTAATCCCAGCACTTTGGGAAGCCAAGGCAGGAAGATCACAAGGTCAAGAGATAGAGACCATCTGACCAACATGGTGAAACCCCATCTCTACTAAAAATGAAAAAATTAGCTTGGTGTGGTGGTGCACGTCTGCAGTCCCAGCCAGTAGGGAAGCTGAGGCAGGATTGCTTGAACCAGAGAGGCGGAGGTTGCAGTGAGCCGAGACTGTGCCAATGCACCCTAGCCTGGCAACAGAGAGACTGTCTCAAAAAAAAAAAAAAAAAAAAAAAAAAAAAAAAAAAGAAAAGAAAAGAAAAAATAAAAGGAAAAGAAGAAAAAAAACTTAAGAAAACTAAAATTAATTTGGTTATACCAGGAAATCAGTAAAATGGGTGATAGTTATTCTTCATAACAAATACTTAAATCAGAATATAGACATCAAATATAACAATACCTAAAAGAAACTGTTAGTTGAAGGCAATAAAGCTAACCTGGCCCAAGATATTATAAAGAGTACATAAATAATACTAACTGCAATGTCACTGAAATGATCTCAGAATTATTTCCTTAGATTTTCATAATAGTTGACTAAGGTCAACATTAGCAAGAATTCGATTTTTAGCATGAAGGTTGATATACTTTTTTCCTCAAAATTTACCATATCAAGAAAGCTGTGTTACTAACCTTTTATTAGTGTTGGTTAATCTTCTATTTGAGGAAAATTAGGCTCAAAGTGACTAACCAAATGTTACAGTGTCAATTAATGACATATTGCCCTAAAATGCAAGTGTTTTTTACATTTTACTATGCAACCTCTCACACTGGCAGATTAAGTGAAACATGGTCAGTTACTAGCTCTGGGTCTTGCATTTTAAGAGAAATACTGATAAATGAACTACGCCCAGGGAAAGATAATCAAGTTGTAAAGGGTTCAAAATCCATGTCATATAGAGTAAGACCAAGGAAACTAAAGCTTTAAGCTGAAGAAGCAAATCCTAATGGAGCAATACAACCAACAGGCCTATTAGGTATTACACACCCCCAACTACCCCCACCGCACCGAAAAAAAGAGCCAGGGCCAGTTAAAAAAGAGATAGACTTCAGATCAACAAAAGAAAGAATTTTTTTACAATGGATTCTGTCCAACGGAGGAATCAACTCATTAGGTAGTAAGCTACCACACTTCGAGAATTACTGACTAATTAGCAATAAAAATCACTGGGGTCATAGTCACAGAGATGACTGAATTATAGCTGATCTTTTTCCTGTAAAGCCACTGACTCTCACTTGCCTAATTTATTCATCTGTTGACTGATTTCAATGGCCCAAAGGAAGTATAAAATTTACTAGAAATCTCATTATTTCTCTCTTTTCTAAAATGATACTTGAAGTTCTAAGATATATGTGCACAACGTGCAAGTTTGTTACATAGGCATACATGTGCCACAGTGGTTTGCTGTACCCATCAACCCATCATCTACATTAGGTATTTCTCCTAACACTATCCCTCCCGTAGTACCTCACCCCACGACAGGCCCTGGTGTGATGTTTGCCTCCCTGTGTCCGTGTGTTTGCATTGTTCAGCTCCCACTTATGAGTGAGAATATGAGGGGTTCGGTTTTCTGTTCCTGTGTTACTTTGCTGAGAATGATGGTTTCCAGCTTCATCCATGTCCCTGCAAAGGACATGAACTCATTGTTTTCTACAGCTGCATAGTATTCCATGGTGTATATGTGCCACATTTTCTTTAGCCAGTCTATCACTGATGGTCATTTGGGTTAGTTCCAAGTCTTTGCTACTGTGAATAGTGCTGCAATAAACATACATGTGCATGTGTCTTTATAGTAGAATGACTTATAATTTTGGGGGTATATACCCAGTAATGGGATTGCTGGGTTAAAAGGTATTTCTTGTTCTAGATCCTTGAGGAATTGCCACATCTTTCACAATGGTTGAACTAATTTACACTCCCACCAACAATGTAAAAGCGTTCCTATTTCTCCACATCTTCTCCAGCAAATTCTTAAAAAAAAAAAAAAAAAAAAAAAACAATGAATCTGGGAGGTGGTTTTTTTTTAAAAGATTAACAAAATAGACTGCTAGCCAGACTAATAAAGAAGAAAAGAGAGAAGAATAAAATTGACATAATAAAAAAGATAAACAGGATATCACCACTGATTCCACAGAAATACAAACTAACATCAGAAAATACTATAAACATGTCTATGTAAATGAACTAGAAAATCTAGAAGAAATGGATAAATTCCTGGAAACATACACCCTCGCAAGACTAAAACAGGAAGAAGTCGAATCCCTGAATAGACCAATAACAAGTTCTGAAATTGAGGCAGTAATTAATACCCAACCAACCAAAAAATGCCCAGGACCAGACAGATTCACAGCCAAATTCTAGAAGTACGAAGAGGAGCTGGTTTCTTCTGAAACTATTCCAAACAGTAGAAAAAGAGGGACTCTTCCCTAACTATGAAGCCAGTATCATCTTGCTACCAAAACCTGGCAGAAACACAACAAAAAAAGAAAGTTTCAGGCCAATATCCCTGATGAACATCCATGCAAAATCCTCAGCAAAATACTGGCAAACCAAATCCAGCAGCACATCAAAAAGCTTATCCCATGATCAAGTCGGATTCATCCCTGGGATGCAAGGCTGGTTCAACATACACAAATCAATAAACATTCCATCACATAAACAGAACCAATGACCAAAATGACATGGTTATCTCAACAGATGCAGAAAAGGCCTTTGATAAAACTCAACACCCCTTCATGCTAAAAACTCTCAATAAACTAGGCATTGACTAGCTATTTATGACAAACCCACAGCCAATATCACACTGAATGGGCAAAAGTTGGAAGCATTCCCTTTGAATACCAGTATAAGACAAGGATGCCCTCTTACCATTCCTATTTGACATGATATTGGAAGTTCTGGTCAGGGCAATCAGGCAAGAGAAAGAAATAAAGAGTATTCAAAGAGGAAGAGAGGAAGTCAAATTGTCTCTGTTCACAGATGATATAACTGTGTATTTAGAAAACCCCATCATCTCAGCCCAAGATCTCCTTAAGCTGATAAGTAACTTCAGCAAGGTCTCAGGACACAAAATCAATGTGCAAAACTCACAAGAATTCCTATACACCAATAATAGACAAACGGTCAAATCATGAGTGAACTCCCATTCATGACTGCTACAAAGAGAATAAAATACC